CTGCTTCTTTCCTCGCACTGCACCACATCGGAATTCCCTTCCATCGTCTCTCTCCCAAGTTCTTACAACCTTGCTCATTTCAAGAAACGTAATAATTAATTATAATTATCCATCAATTACACCTTCTGTTCGTTGCTTGCCACTTTATGTTTTGGGCCTTTGAGCCTGTATTCAACACAAGCTGAAATGCCCAAAATAAGTATGAATTATTAATCTGTGTATTCATTCAATGCACACGGCTAATTGTTCATAGCTAATTTTAAAACTGCAACTAATTAGTCTGATCTGTAATTGATCCAAGCTTGTCGATGCAGTGATGGTCTGGCAGACCGTCCTTTTATCCTCGGTACCATTTAGAAAAGGCACACTCGACAGTTGTGATGTTGATGCAGGGCACCTGAAGGACTTTGCTGTCTGTTCGTGAACCTCAGAGTGCTCTCAGAGATGTGCAGCTGCGACAAGTAGATACATAGGATGGTTTGAGGTGTGTTGGTTAGTATTTTGGCCAGAGTGCTCCACCATTAGATGTGTGTCGGGGGCGTGTTGGCTAGGGGCCAGAGTGCGCCGTGACTAGAGAACACGGTTTAGCACTTAAGTTACTTGCCCGTGGTCTGTTGATATAACCGAGAAGTTGAAATGGGCATAAATTATTTAATGGTCATTAATTATTTTCGAGTTTTTCTGTTATATTTCACCATTGTGCATTTCAGGATTGTACAATTTACTTCCGAGACCAGTTGCTATCCCAGTGCTCAGGTCTATAACATATTTGAACTAATTATTTATTTGCTAATTTGCGAATGTTCTTGGCTTTATATTACATGTAGTTACACCATCAAATGTTATAATTACTGGGTTGCATTACTTTTATGTAGCGATGCATTTGTAACATCAGTCATGATGAGTTCACTACAGGATGAAAGACTCCCAAATTTTCCTCAAATCTAATGATCTGCCTAGCACCTGCACATGACCTAGTTTCATTGCTCCATCTCCTTGGTGAACGTCCTCTCATATCCATTCCCATTCCTTGGTCGCCATTGTCTTTATTCTTCGGCCATCATTCTTTCCAGCAACGTGTCCTGCCCATACCCTGATTGTTGTGCCACGTTATCTGCTTTGTTATCATTCTGTTCCGAATAATCTTTCATTGTTGTGTCTATATTCCCCTCTGCAAGTGAATGAAAATGCAATGATGCAATTATTTATTTTCAAATCTGTTCATTGAATCGCCGTTGACCGGCCGGTTACCTTTAACGATGAACCTCTCACGCCGCCACCCCTCAGCGGGAGCTGATCGTTGTCAACAAACCGTACGGCATCCCCGTGCACGGAGGTCCCGGGGTGGGCGGCAACAACGTGGCGGCCGTGCTGCCCGTGCTGGAGCAGCTGTTAGATGGTCACCCCTCTCGCCACCGTCACCGACGCAAAAACACCACGGCCGGCGACGACGCCACCGCATCAAAACTCTACCTGTGCCACCGGCTGGACCGCGACACGACGGGAGTGCTGGTGTTGGCCCGGAACGCCGAGGCAGCCGACGCCGTGGCCTCGCTGCTCAGGGAGCGGCGCGCCGAGCGCACCTACTGGGCCGTAACAGTGGGGGTGCCGCAGCCCGCCCGGGGCGTCGTAGACCTGCCCGTGGGCGAGCGCAAGCACGAGGGGCCCGACGGAGTCACCTACCGCATGGCCGTCATGCCGAGGTTCCACTACGTCGACGCCAGCAATGCCCTCGTGAGAAGTGAGTACTCGTCTTCTCTCTTGTTGTCATTCGTTACATAGAGATACGGGTGGGGAACGTTCGGAAACTAGTCATATTATGTAGGGCTGGCCCCGCTGAGATACAAAAAACCAGGACACATGTAAATATAAATTTAACACTACCAGAAGAAGGGATAACTACATGTAAATGCTTTGTGTTCAGTGGTATTTTATTACACAACTTACAGAAACCCGGGCATTTAATTTCTTGAGAAGATTTACAGATCTCGCCGCCTGTACCCGTGTGTGTTTGTGTGCGTCTCTCAGGGCGACTGCCACGGGGAGCCCGGACGGCCGTGACGCAGTACCGCGTGTTGGCGGAGGGCGCGGGAGGCCGCAGTGCGCTGGTGGAGCTGAGACCTCTCACGGGACACAAGCACCAGCTACGCGTGCACCTGGCGCTCGGGCTCGGCACCCCGGCGCTCGGAGACCACAAGTACTCGCCAAGGCGCCAGGGCCAGGGACTCGTGCCGCAGCGGCTGTCGCCAGCACTTCTGCGCAAGCTCGGACTCGCGTGAGGATCACCTCTTGATTCACCACCACACAGATTCGATTCGCGGTCACCATTCAGGGGCTGCAAATTGACTCCAGAATCAAGTCGTTTGTTTTTATCGTGAAACCCTCCATCACCCAACATAGGCGAGCGAATTCAAGTGCCACTTGTCCAAGCGTTTAATATTCCGATTATCTTTTCAGCCCACCGGTAAATTGAAGAACAAGTCGCGCAACCAAATGCAGCAATTGGATATCTTCTTACTGACCCCTTCCTCACCGCGCATCTCCCTCCGTCTCCTCTCCGCGTGTCGCAGGAGTGGGCAGGAGCGGCCGGCGGCAGGAGCCGCGCGCCGCGTGCCCCTGCACCTCCACGCGTGCCGCCTGGTGCTGCCGGGCCTGGGCCACGGCAGAGATCCCCTTGTGGTGCAGTGCCGCCCCCCGAAGCTCTTCATGCAGAGCCTCAAGAAGCTGGGCATCCAGCTCCCTGAGGCGGAGGAACAGGAGGAGACCTCCCAGTAGGGCAACCCCCACAGTGCCCTCAGCACAAGTGGAGATACTGATGTCGGCTTGGGGTGGTGCATCCAGTTCCTAGCGCACCGTACAGAATGGTGGATGATCCAGCACCCACTGGTTCACTCTATTTTCACTCTTACTGCAGTCTCTCTGCTATTGCTACTAGCCTCGTTCTATTGTCGCATACTTCACTCAGTGCTTCCTCCACCCATGCTGAGGACTAAAAGGCTGAGAGTTTAGTTTTACACACACTGTGTTCACCACATAGCAGGTAATAATAATAACAACACACCAACCCGCTCACCCACACAGCAATCCACCCTCCCATAGGCTCTTTTCCCAAGTTCTTACAATCTTGCCCAGTTAAATAAACGTATTAAACCTTATCTATTATACCTTAAAATTGTGCTATGAGTTGTGGGACGCGTGGAGTTTTCGACCTTTGGGCCTGCGCTCGGCCACCGTGACTAAAACATCGTACTGCCTGCATGGCCAAGTTGTGAACTCTCGCCAGGTGGTCGGGTGACTTGGGAGGCCAGGGTGTGGTATCGGTAGTAGGGTGCGGAATGTTACATTCTTCTCAGTTGACTGGTGTAATGAGGACGAGTCCTCCACAAGAGCCAGTCAGCAGCTAAACATACAGTCATCATTAAATGGTTGCGGTGGCCGGATGGCTCAGAGGTCAGCACGGAGACAGCAAACCCAAGAACCTGAGTTCAAATCCACGATTTCAGCTGCCTGGAATGAAACCGATTTCTCAGGTGTAGAAAGTTGATATTATCAGCCCCATTAACCAATGATTTATACAGTCCCATTTGAAAAACATATTGGCTGAATTTCTGCTATGTAAATTATAAAATAAATCTCTCATTTAACAATCATTTCCCAGGAGCAGAGTTTGAGAAAAGGGTGCCTCCTCGTGTGTGGATACAAGGGTCTTAAAGGGATCTTGGAAGTATGCCGAGCAAATTTTTTTAGCCCATTCTCTTGAACTGGGTGATGCACTGCTCACTGTGAGAATTCCAAGCGGATACTCCGCCCCATGACATGCTGCCCATAGCACATTTGGAATTATATTGCGAAGAATAGACTTGTGCGTTCTGTTCATGGCGTCGTCGTGTTTACTATGCAAAAAATAAAACTTTATACTTGAAGCTCGTGAACGGCTGTGTTTGGAGTTGTTTGATGGAGTCTGGGAACTGAAGTAGATTCAGGTCCCTCCACGATTGGAAAAATACATTCATGTGGTGTGCAGAAGGCCCATTGCCCGAAACGTCACCTGATACTTTCCTTTTAAGGCCACACTGGTATTGACAAATGTGTTGAGTTTTCTTTTAGTTGGAGCGATGGCACCGCGTGTGGTGACTATTAGTCGTCAGCCATAATCTATCCACTGCTGGATGAACATTATTCGTAGGCGTGTCGAGGCTCTGCAATGAATTTGCGTTTTCCACATCTGAATATTTGTATCTGTAAATGGATAAACTAAGTTGATCCCTCAACCTGACCCAAGGCCGACTGCAATCAGAGTCACATTTCTCCGGGAGGAATCCGATGGGCTTTGAAGCTCTTTCACAGATTTCCAGTGGGGGCGGGTTAGAACGTAACAACAACACTACAACAATAACAACAACACTACAGACACTACAAACACTACAGACATTACAAACACAACAATAGACACTACAAACACAACAACACGACAAACAACACTACATACACTAGACACACGCAAGGTAAACATCACGTAAAGATACTGTACTAGTAACGAATTGGCATCTTATGTTTACGTGACAAACCTTACCAATTGGCTGTATCGGGTGGTGGCGGGTTTAACGACACGTTTATATTTACGCGATCTCACCCCAATAAAAACCTCTTATGGGTGATGATATTGGTCCAGAAAGCCGGCCACGTGTTTAACTTAAGAATGCAGTCTACACAAATACTGCTACACAGTTTACTTTATCTTACTAGGTAAGGCCCACTGGATAATATTCCCCCCTTTAGCTTTATCGCACTTTAATTGCCAACACCGAGGGATGAGGATGAGGAGGGGGGGGAGTGAGTAAATGTTGACTGCGTGAACTCTACGGAGTCGCTGCGCTGGAAAGTAAAACGCCACTTTAATAATTAAATAAATCGCCGCGAGAGCCGCCGAGGCGCCGTAGCGGTGACGTAGCAGTGACGTAGCGGTGACGCGTCACTCACCGCGCCGGCCGCGTCCCTTCCTCACCGTAGCTGCTGCAGCTGCTGGTGGTGGTGGTGGTTGTGGTGGTGGTTGTTGTGGTGGTGGTGCTGGTGGTTGTTATTGTGGTGGTGGTGGTTGTTGTGGTGGTGGTGCTGGTGGTTGTTGTGGTGGTGGTGCTGGTGGTTGTTGTGGTGGTGCTGCTGGTGGTGGTGCTGGTGGTGGTGGTTCTGGTGGTGCTGGTGGTTGTTGTGGTGCTGGTGGTGGTGGTTGTTGTGGTGCTGGTGGTTGTTGTGGTGGTTGTTGTGGTGGTGCTGCTGGTGGTGCTGCAGCTGCTGGTGGTGGTGGTGCTGGTGGTTGTTGTGGTGCTGGTGGTGGTGCTGCTGGTGGTGGTGGTGCTGCTGGTGGTGGTGGTGCTGCTGGTGGTGGTGGTGGTGCTGGTGGTTGTTGTGGTGCTGGTGGTGGTGCTGCTGGTGGTGGTGGTGCTGCAGCAGCTGCTGGTTGTGGTGGAGGTGCTGGTGGTGGTGGTGGTGCTGGTGGTTGTTGTGGTGGTGGTGGTGCTGGTGGTGGTGCTGCTGGTGGTGGTGGTGCTGCAGCAGCTGCTGGTTGTGGTGGAGGTGCTGGTGGTGGTGGTTGTGGTTGGAGTCGTCCGAGTCGTTAATGGAGTAAAGTTGGCCAGATCAAGTTTGACGCTCGATGCCTAAACAATCGATGGTAAATCAAGGCGACCCTCCCCCGTCTGCAAGCAGAGAGCGAGCGAGACGTATGCGGGGCTCGGGCCGTGGCGACTCGGGAGGGGATCGGGGTCCCTGGTCCCCTTCCCTCGTCCCGAGGTCGTCGGTTCCCTCCCGACTGGGAGCCACCACCCCCAGCAGAGTCTCTGCTTCCCTATCCCCTCTCTCGAATCAGGATCCATGTTGCTCCTCTCCTACCTACCCCGACTCGGGGTCCCCTCTCTCCTAGGACCCCAGTCAGGGACTTGCCTCACCCTAACCTCGTGGCATTGGCCCCTCCCAATCTCCTCTCTCAGTATACACAAATACTACTACTCTCTCCTGCTACCCCGGTCTCTAATACAGTACCGGGCTCTCTGCTCCCCTATCCCAACCCCTGCCCTTGAACCCCCTCTCTATGGTCTCCTGATTGCCCCTCTGCCTTCTCAGAGGCAATTAGGAGAGGACAGTACAGGAATGGATTCTTGAATCCGTCTGTGTGGAGCTCTGAGTGTTTCCCCCTTGTGCGTGGTGGGTGTTTCTCTTGGGCCCCAGTTTCCGCACACATGTCACGTTTAAAGGAATTGGCTGCACATCTGGACAGGGCTTGAATGGCGATCAATCTACAGACAGGTAGTGAGTGATGGGGCCTGCGGGGCTAGGTGGTGGTCAGTAGAGGGCAGTCCAGCAAAGCACGTGTGTACTGTACAGTACTTCTATGCTTCCACGTCTGTGATGTTGTTGCAATGACCACCGTGGTAAAGTATGGTCACGTGTAACTGGCCAAAGGTTCCCAGGAAGCATTGTGTCATGTGAATGACTCTTGTGACCCCTCTTTCCCTCAAATGGGCATTGGGTAATTTTGTATTTGCGCCAACCTCGTAGCGCAAGGCTGTTGTGAAGGTGCTACGTTACGCAGATGGGTAGAATCAGCCAGTAGGGGACACAGGTGAATTGACACGTACATTGACACATGGCCCACTTGAATAAATGTCACGTTATCTTTAACAGCCACTGCAGAGCAGACGACGCGTGGTATTGTGATTACGACACCTGCCGCATTAACCAAGGTGGCCTCTGGCCTCGAACCGGCAAACACGCTCCCGCTCGGCCTTGTCACCGGCCATTCTTGTGTTCTCAGGTTCCAAGTACCTCGCTCCTGGCTCCGAGGGGACCCTGAGGGACCCCGGGAACCCCGTTGACGGGCGGTGGAGGTGGTGGAGCCGAGAGGACGATGCACAGCTCGCTGGAGTTTGAGACGGAGCCGGTGCGCAAGTCGCCCATGATTCACGGCAAGGAGCAGACACGAGCCTCCATGATGCAGATGGTGAGGGCTGCCTTCCTCACACCCGTGCATGCGTCTACATGGCCACTGTGCATGAGAATGGGGACTTCAATTTATCGTGATCATCATCTCTGAAATTCACAGCGCCTTGCGCCATTCTCACCTCAATCCTTCCAGTGCCCTGCTGCAGTCCAGCCCATTGTGCTGCACCATATGTCACATCTTCAGTCCCACTGCACCAGCCAATCACCTTCCAGGAAGATGACACCCATGCAACGTGATAACCATTAAGTCATTATTCGGTGCACTTGAGCCAGTGTGTTAATGTTGTAAATGTCAATAACGTTAATGCGATTGACTTTATTAATCATTAATGTAATTGATTATGAAATGTTATTGGTTACGGTCGAATTGTGAGCCATCAGGACCGCTCTTAAAATGTATCGTAACTTTCCGACGCCCATTGTAGTCACTCATTTACTTGGAGTCATGAAAAAATATTGTCTTGAACCAAATGTAAGACATTGCTACGATGTTGTCAGTCAATACGTACCCTGGCCCCTGGTCTCTTGTGTGCAGGCTTCCATGGGCAGCCACTCTCCCAGCAGCCCGCTGTCCCCGCTGGCCGAGGTGGCAGGTGCCGCCCCCCCCCTGCTCGCCGTGCTGGAGCCAGGGGGGGACGCCGACCTCCCAGGGGGCCTCTCCCTCTTCCCCAGCCTTGACAGTGTGGCCGGCATGGCTGCCTCACACGAGCACGCCGACGGGTATGTGAGAGGGGGTCACAAGCTGCCCTACAGACACCCGGCTTGGCTCACAGGCGCCTGGCCACACCTGTCTCGGTCCGCTACACTCAACCCGTAAGGCAGCACATAGCCTGGCTAATCAGACCGCCCTTTGTGTGGTACGATGATGGCAGGGACCCTCCAAATGATCCGCCCGAGAAGACCAACATGACGTGGCTGGATGCGGCACAGGTGAGCGAGCGGCAGACCTCGTCCGTGACACCTCACGGACGGCCTCCATTTCACCCACCTCCGTCCAGCTGCTGGGAACCCAGCAACACAACACAGGCACGGAAGCCACAATCTGATGCCACGTGGCAACCGTCACCTGGTCGAACTAATCCTCACAATTCAAAGTCACTGTTTAGCATCATTGTGGTGAATATGAGCATCTAAATATGCAGACAATTCGTCTTTTTCATATTCCGGTATCGACATACAGTATCTAATCAGAAAAACTGTCAAAACCACTCCAGAGTTTGCTGTTCTTGAGCCAATGCTGTTTTAAAAATGCACTCCCAGAAGGCCATGCGGATGATGGGTTGTGTCAGTAATGCTTATCTGTTTTGTTAATCTTAACATAGACTTGTGAGCTGCTATGCATCCTGAAATATCCAAGAATAACACTTCACACCCTGAGCGTGGAAGCTCAGCCTCACGTGTATGGGACCGCAATTGCCGTGAATTTTTGGAGACTTACTTTTGATGTTCGTGTAAAGTGTGTTTGTTCAACACACTTTACACTTGTGTGTTTATGTGTGTGTGTGCACCGCGCAAAGAACTTGGCGACACAGATTCGATTCCCACTCAAGGCCAACTCCAGTGATGAATGTTTGAACTGTCCTGGGTTTCCCCTATATCGACTCAGCCTCAAATGAGTACGTGGTGTGATGTGTAAACATCGCCACTGGGGAGACAAAGGCGGACGGGCATGGTGCTGGTCACCCACCCTCTCGTGAACCGTTTTAGCCTTCATAGGTGCTACATGCAAACAGCACTTGCCCCAACAGTCTTTTAAGTGGATCTTTGTCTTTGTTTGTACAGCTGGTGCTGGAAGAGGCCGGGAAGCCTCTGCACATCAAGGAAATCAAGCAGCGCGTGCTGGAGGCCGGCCTTGTGCAGTCCAGGTCTCACCACACCGATGCATCACAGCACAGCCACACATAGCAGCGCTGGTTCAGCCAACACGGCACGGCCACACATAGCAGCGCTGGTTCAGCCAACATGGCACAGCCACACATATGTGTCTGTCTGTCTGGCCGTCTAAAATACAAACATATGCTCGTTAATTCGACTGTCTTTGTTTCACCCTCATTGCTACAGCTCAAAGTCAAGCCTGGAGGCAGTGATGTATCGAGAGGTGAGGAACACGCATGGTGGTTTTGGAAGTGGTGATCATTGCCGTCGGACATCTTTTACCTCTTTTCCACTGCAGAACCCGACCCGTGTCGATAACGTCGCGTGCATTGAACTAGTCGCGTCGCATTTAGATGACGTGGTGGTGACGCTGCGTCCTCACAGTGTCCTGCTTGACGTCACATGCAATGAATGCGTCGTTGACCCCGCGCTTGGCCCAGCTTGGCTCCCAAACCGCACGATGAGGCCAGAGTTTCCATTGTTTCTGGCTCAGTTTGGAAAATTGGGGAAAAACACCAACCCCGTTCACTGAGGGCCCGGCGCTAGTGTGGCTCAGATGTGCTTGTGGACAAGGAGCCTTTGTTTCCCGCTGCCCGCCATGCTTGGTGAGCACCCCCTGTCTTCGCATGTCATCAAATTCCAGACACAGAAGGGAAGTCGAAGGTTCAAGCGGATCGAGAACAGGAACGGGGTCTTTGCGCTACTGGTGAGAACCGCTGCATAAAACCAGCACTGCTATCTTGTTATCGTTACACCTTTTTAGCTGTTTCAGGAAGGTTTTGCCAAGTTTTCACAGTAGCGGGCAATGATTGCCACGGTGTTTAATCCCAATTAAGTAATTATTACTCATTTATATTATAATTTATCATCATCAGTGGTGGAAATAGACCCGAATACGATGGTACACCGTACAGGCACTTCTCATTACATCAAAAACATATACAAACTTTTCAGATTTGTTTTAATCGTATGCTGTTATGTTTTCTGAAAGTGAGAAAAGCAGTCAACATGGACGATAATTCACGAGCCTTTTGCCCGTCCAAGGACGGGTGTATTGCAGTAAATCTGAAACTTGCAAGCGAAAAGCAGAGCGCGACGTGATACTCACTGCATGAGTGCGTGTGCAGTGTGTAAGGGCGCGGTGACACAGACCTATTGCATTTTAAATGTCTCAACAGCGTTGCGGAGATCACGTGACGCGAGGGTTCTGCCTTTGTAGTGAGGGTTGTCAGTTGACGCCGAGGAGGGGGGAGGAGGCTCCTCGGCCCCCCATGTGGAGTGACGTCACTTTGTAATGATTATTAATGGCGGGGGGGGGGGTGTGACCATTTGGAGGACGTCACCTGCTCATTATTATTAATGAGGGGGGCTGGTCAACGTGGAGTGACGTCACTTGCGCATGATTATTAGTGAGGGGGGGAGTACTCCATATTGAGTGACGTCACTCGCTCATGATTGTGAATGAGGAGGGGTGGGGGGGGGTGTCCATGTGGAGGACGTCACCTGCTCATTAATATTAATGAGGGGGGCTGGTCGATGTGGAGTGACGTCACGAGCGTTAGGGAAACAGACATTCCTGGGTGATTATAGTCGGTATACCAAGAACATAGAGTTACATTTTGACCATCGATCATAATTTATTATTGATACAAAATATTTGGTGGTGATAATGCATTGGCAGTGGTGCACACGCACAATTAACAACTCAACACAGCCGTCAATAACACTGGCCTTGAAAGGAAAAGTTTCCAATCGGTGATGTTTCAGGTAACAGGCCAGAGAGAGTGCATGAGGAGGGCTGGATGACCTAATATAATCTATAGAGTCACAGACAAACCGTTCTATAATCAAACGTGTATGACGAAATTAACTAATTTATAAGAAAGTGCAATTATTAAATATTGCTGGCACATTGCATTTTATGTCCAATTTTAAAACACCAGGAAACATTCTCAAATGTCAATCGTATCAGGCAGCCATGGTAGGGAGTCTCCAACACCTTCTCCACTCTGCCTCTCTGGCCTATGAAGAAGGCCGTTGCCTGCGTCGTACCGTACCCCGGCGTGAATGTGCAACCGCCCCAGACGCAAGCCGAGCGGCAGCAGCAGCTCCTGCACTGCTACTCCGCCACCGCCGCCACGAGCGCCGGCAGGGCCTTCGCCCTTCCCTCGCACCGCGCCTCGTCCCCCTCCGCGGCGCCGGCCCGCCTGACCCAAGCCTCGCCGGCACCCAACCCCCGCGGGGCGCCGTCCCCATCGGCCTCCGCGTCGGCGTGCGTGACCGGCGGCGCCGGCGCCGTGGCGGTCTCGTCGTCCTCTCCTCGCGTGGCGCTGTCTCCCGGCCGAGGCCTGGGCGGACCGCCCCCCCTGGGCGGCGCGCGGGCTCCGCCGGGGGGGGGCGGAGGGGGCGCGGGGCTGGGGGCCGGCGCGGCGGCGTCTCGGCGCAGCAAGGCGCGCCGGCTGGCGCGACGGAACGCCGTGAGCGAGCGCTACCGCATCAAGTACCAGCGCCTACGCCGCCTCGTGCGCACCACTATCTTCGTGAGTTGCTTGGCCCGGCATAAACGAATGCTGGCACCGGTCACCAGATTGGTGTTCGACCAGTATCTTAACTCGCTTTACAGACACGTTGGGTATGTTTAATTCACGTGGGGGGGTGGGGTGGGAGTAAGGTAAACTCATGTTGTGTGTCCGCGCTCGTGAGGAGGAGCGGTGTGTATGTTTGTGTGCATGCTTGTGTGGGGAGGCAGTAGTGTAGTGGTTTGCAGGGTATGCTGCTAACCCCGCAACCCAAGTTCAATTTCCGACCGTCACCAGTGAGGAATATCTAAACTAGTCCTAGGTCCAATCTCGGAAAATCTGGTGCAGGGTGTAAACATCAGCATTGGAAGACAAAGGCAGCTGAGCGTGGTGCTGGCCACAACACCACCACGTCTATTGTGCCGGCCTTCATAGGCGCTCATTGACAGCACTGTCGCCAATGGCTTGTGGGCACTACACGGAGCGATCTTTGTGCGCTTGTGTAGGAGAACGCGGCGCTGTGTGACGAACTGGCGCGGGTGGAGGGATGCCTCGCTGGAGCCAAGGAGCAGAGAAGGTGCCCACGCACGCATCACTCGGCGCCAGCTGATGGGCCTAGGCACACACGTGGGCAGCAGTTGCATGAGCGAGTTACAGCCGCAACGCGTTCACCGCACATTGAGAGGTTCACTGTTCAAATCCAGCAGGCCACCCTGGTTGTTACCGTGGTGTTTATTCACCATTTACAAAACGTTCAAGATCCCGGGACACCATTGTAAACGAGTTGGCCATTGTGTGGCGGCGTCCTGGTCAAAATTTTAAAATCTTAGCCGCCAATTACTCAATTGTGAATACATAAATCAGCAATTATTGCTCCCTACCAGACAGCGCTGCCTTTTCCCCACACGTAGACTTTGCATGCGGGTCAACCTCGCACATTACTGTTCAGTTTTGCAGAACTGTAAACAGGTATTGCAGGTGGTGTGGCATTGTCAGGAAGGATACTAACGTTTTCAAATCATGATTATCAGATCATTTGAGCATTGAGGCATTTGTGCTGGTCTTCCGTTTACAGCCCTGAGCCAGTGGTGGAAATTACACATTCCTATGGTGGGGGCGAGTCTTTCCATACAAAAGTCACTGTTGATGTCCCCACAAGGTGGTGCTCTTATTGATCCTGGAGAGATGATGAGCCCAGTCAACTCCCCAAGCAGGAATTGAACTTGCTGCCTTCCTACTGCAAGCCGCTCACTCTGCCACCGCTCTACTGCGGCTAGTCACAATTGTTCATCGACTAAAATTGATTCTTATGCTCAGAATAAATGAAGAGATGTGTGAGTGTCAGGGTGATTAATGTATTATTAATGCACATGATGTAATGTTAAAAGTACATTTAGTCAAGCAAAGCAAACAAAACACACAGTGGCGCAGTGGGAGTGGTGGTGCAGTGGGAGTGGTGGTGCGATGGGAGTGGTGGTGCGGTGGGAGTGGTGGTGCGGTGGGAGTGGTGGTGCGGTGGGAGTGGTGGTGCAGTGTTAAATTGCAGCTCATGGCCAACATCGGTGACTAATATCTGAACCAGCCTTAAATAAGGTTCAGTGTGTAAAATCTCGTTCGATGTGTCAAACAGAATTTGGAGACAAAGGCCGCCAGGCATGGTGCTGGCCACCCACCCGTTATTTCCCGTGTCAGCCTTAATGGTTGCTCGCTAACAGCACTTTAACCCACAGCTACCTGGGGGATCTTTGTCTTTGTGAGTTTAGGGTGCTGCTGAAGCGCTTCCTGCAGTACCAGGCTCTGTATGAGGGCACCGACCCCGCAGCCTCGGCCTCCCCCACTGGGGTCACAGTGGGGGGCCTCGGGGCAGCCCCCCCATCCGCTCACTCGCCCCCCACGACCGCCGGGCTTCCCCCAAGCGTCGCTACGACGGCAGCCGTCGCCCCGGCGCTGGATGACCCCCCCGCGAAGAAACCCAAGCGGGTGAAGAAGGAGCGGACGAAGGAGAGGGGCAGGGAGGATGACGAGAAGGGTGAGCGTCCACTCGGCTCTTCATCCAAGATGAATCCTCTGCCTCCCAAGCCACGTGTGTCATTGGGGTTGTGTGATGATACTTCACCACGCTGGTCGGGGTGTGTCGGCGAAGTGGGGTGATTGACACACGATCAGTTGAGATATCACTTTGCACTGATGTCAGGTGTGACCAGGAATCGAAATTAGGTCGCCAGGTTTCGCAGAACGGTCAGAAATCCACGGCACCACCGATCCACCCCGAAACACCTCGTGCCGAGGAGATGGCTGGATAGGGCCCACGGCCTTGTTTTACACGGCCCGTGGCCACAAGAGACACACCCCTTTTCTAAAGGGCCCACAAGCGATGTTTATCCAACGCTGCGAGCGTCTTATCGAGTGCTGGACAGGAGTATTTTCAGACCTGGCAACAACGCAGTGTTTGTAAAGTTCACGCCGCACTCAGTCCTGGTTGCCACTGCAAGGACATGTTACAGGGACAAGTGAGTGAGGTGTGTGTGTGTGGTTAACCACCAGAGGTAATTGAAAGTCCTATTTGGCTCCATAGTAAGAAATCACAGCCTACCCCTGTCATCGTGTAATTTTCAGCGAGCGAGCGGTCTGGTAACGGACTTTGAGGATGCTTTATCATTATTAGCATTGTCATTTTTTCGTGTTATGTATCATAGAGTCTTGCCTCAAACTAAGACCTATATCTAGGAGAGAGTGGACTTCCCTATAAACATCAGCATTGGTCTCAGTGAGCCTGACTGCTGGGGAGGCACTGAACGTCGAAACGGTGCACAATTGTGCTTGTGTTGAACCATTGCTGCTGAAATGATGCACTCCGAGGAGGCAGTGTGGCTTATAGGTTGTTTCTGAATGTTTCTATTCCGCACCTCTGATTAGCATGGTTGGCTACGTACAATGCGAAAGAAGTTTACCGTGCATATGTAGAGAGATTGATATATACGAAGGAGACGTGGCTTGCTTATTTTGTCAATTATTTTTTGTGTCTGACCCTGGGGCGAGTGGGGGGTTTGATGCAATCTGCCGGCTGCACGGGGCCTGAAGGCCTCCGGGAGGGCGGCACGGAGGCCGGTGGAGCGGAGGTTTGCGTGGTGGCCGAGGCGAAGGCTTGCCAACTCTTGAGTTCAAAACAAACGTGACTTGTCATGGGTAGAAGAGAGTCCCACGAGACCTGAAGAGGGGAGAGCTACATGTGAATTCATTGTGTTGGGTGGTGGATCATTATTATTGTGCAACTTACAAACAACTGGAGCTTTGAATGTCCTGGGAATACTGACATATCCCAGCTGCCTCAAAAATAGAACAATGCTTGGAAAACCAGGACGGGTGGTAACCGTGTCTCCCCTCTGCGTCTCATTGCGGCGGCCGTGACTCAGGCTCGAAGGGGAAGGCCTCGAAGCGGAGGAAGGGCGGCGAGGGCCCCACGCGCCGCCTCGTGCAGCCGATCCCGCTCGACCAAATGGGCCGGCCAATCTTCCCCATCGCGCTCGGAGACCTGACCATCTACAGCCTCGGAGAGGTGCGGCCGCTCGCAAGGCCACGTGGCTCACTTACGCCTCCATTGTTTTGTTTTCTGGCTGTGCCGCATGTTGCTCGGCACGGGTGTCCGACGTTTCGTGCCACGTGCTTCGAGCTGCAGAGCCGAAGAAGCTCCCATCACGTGTAGCGCACCGTCGGGCATCGTGCCGAGTTAAACGTGGCACAACCCTCAAGCACGTCGGAAACTTACGCGGCACAACCGACAAAACCTGCTCAGTAGAACTTATTCCAGCTGCATGCACTCGTATTGTAACAATTCAACAAGTGACGTTGACTTTATTTACGTAACTTCTTCCACAATTGTGCCTTGATTATGCTCGCATAGTCCAGTCAGAAGTCTCGCAGAGCTGAGTGTTAAAAGAACGGCAGGCAGCAGCGAATACTCCTGAGCTTCCTCTTCTTCAAGCGAACTCCGTTCAAGACAGAAGGGGGCAGCACTATTCCACCAGCCCTGCCACGCAGTCATGTTCGTCATGTGACACTCATTACTTGAAGTCACACAGATGGAATGTACACAGATGAAGAGGAGAACCAAATTTATTGTGATGGGTTTTTTGGGCAGCCATTGTTGACCTGGCTGTAGTGTTACTGTAGTGCTGTTTGGCGAATGTTGTTCGTGTAATGTGTTTTTCTATATATAGTGTTATTGTCGTGTCAGCAGAGTATTATTGTATTATTGGCGAATGTTATTAGCGTAGTATTAAACCAGCATAGTGTTGGTCTAGTGCAGCGTTAGCTCGCGTTCTTAGCCTCGTATAATACCAGCAGAGTGTTGAGTGCAGCGTTAGCTTGTGTAGTGTTGTTGGAGGTATGCAGTCAACAATGCTTGACTCAGGGAGGAGGACGCCCCTGCCATGCATAGTCCCATGGGATGTTGGCTATCAACAACAAGGCAACTCCTATGACTAATTGGGAATGGGACGCAAGCGTAGGATTGATCACCCTGTCGATGGCCGCCTTTGGGGAGGGTGTATAGTATGAAAGGCCGAAACACCCTAGGACCCAAAGGTTCACTACTGACGATGCGCTCCCCAAATTTCACCAGGCTCACTGTTCATGAACTCTTGGAAGTGCTTGCACAGAGGATAGTAACATCTCATCCTGTGTTCTTTGGAATTTGGAATTTGCCGGCGGGTTGGATTGTGGTGGTCGTGGACCTGCGTCTCCGTCGTGCTTGTAGATCGTCACAGACCGGCCGGGCTTCCACGACGAGAGCCACATCTACCCCGTGGGCTTCTGCAGCACGCGGACGGCGGGCAGCCTGCGCCACTGTGAGCTCACCTGCCTCTACACCTGCCAGATCAAGGACGGGGGCTTCGGGCCCCAGGTGAGGTGCACGCCGGCTTCTAAAGGGAGAGAGGCAAAAATGTTAACGTTTAAGGTTTTATAACTCTGCGCCGCACAGCTTTCTTATATTCAGAGGCGCAGGAAACGACAGAGAAGCGTGAAGGCAGCCAGAACCCGGCGCCACGAAATATGTTGTGGCCAAAAAATGGGATCTTTGGCCAACTGTTGTCCGTGTGGGAGGAAACCGCAGTATCCGGAGAAAAGCCACAGACTCTTGTGAAAGAGGGAACATTTTTCGATTTAAAGCTTTCGTGACTGCAGGGATTCATCTTCTTGGTTCTTTCGGTAAAGTCACGTAGAATGGAAACAATAAAAATAATAAAATAAAACATAATACAATTATTTTCACGACGTTTCGGCCACAACGCAAGCAGCCGTCATCAGGTGAAGACCAGGTCTGTCGGGGAGACAGCGTCCATTGCATGCAATCCCCATGCAATGGAAACAAAGATGACGCTACCTCCTGTACCATCACCTCCTGGCGAGCCATTGTTAGCTCGCGTTGTTAGCTTCGTCTTCTCTCCCGGTGACCCAGAGGTGGCGACTTTGTAAAGCGCCCTGCGGAGCCTTGACGAACAAGGATATTGTGATTGGTTATCCTGGTTGCTGCGGTCGCTGTGGTTGTTGTGTGGGATGCACGTGCATGCTGACGTGTGTGGGTCGTGCCCCCCCCTGCTACCGCCCCCCCCATCGCCGGGCCGGCGTTAGTTCGAGATAGTGCCGGAGGACGACCCCCAAAACCCGATCGTGGCGTCGTCGGCGTCGGCGTGCTACGCCAACCTGATGAGAGCCACACTCGCCGCACGGTGACGATCACACGCACGCTCACCACGCTTGTGTGCGTCAGTGAACACACACGCAACAAAGATTTCCCGAATATCCTGAACAGACTGTTGGGGCAAGTGCTGTTTGCGAGTAGAACCTATGAAGGTCGGCACGGCACACGAGAGGGTGGGTGGCCAGCAACACTCCAGTGGCGATGTTTGCACACTGCACGGGGTACTCATTTGAGGCTTAGTCGACCTAGGGGAGGCCCAGGACGGGCTCCGATAATCGTGGCTGTGAGCGGGAATCGACCTCGTATTGTGCTAACCACTACACTCCCCACTCACACACACACACTCGCTTACACACTCATGAACACTCACACGCTCATTTATGCATTCACTCGTACATACGAATGCCCGCTCACGCACATGCTGCCCCCTGGTCACGCGGCACGGAGCCCCCCTGCCCTCTCCTCCCATCTCACATCTGCCGTCTCACATCTCCCGTGTTCCCTGGGACAGAGGGAAGTCCGTTCCTGCCGTGAGCTCCTCCGGGCCGGAGTTCTTTGGCTTCTCTCACCCGTCCGTGCAGCACCTCATCCAGAGCTGCCCCGGCGCACGCAAGTGCAGCAGGTCAGAGGGATCGATCCCGCCCCCTTGCTCGCCGCTCCATTCCTCGTCTCGGCCACTTCCGAGTCTTTCCGCAGCGCGTCCTGCGCAAGCCCACTTAGCGTTTCTTGACTGACCGGTGCGGTGAGGTACGGTCGTGTATCTTTTCTCCCCCGGTGGCGGCGCAACGTCAAATGCGGTCTGCGTGCCGCAGTAAACGCGTGCCCTGCTAGAGATGTGCCGAGACTCGGGTGGGTCAAGTCGGCGATGGAGAAACTTTGCAATCGGTAATGGTGACAGAACAAGTGAGAGAAAGTTGATACGGTGCCTAGGTTCATCATAATGGTCATGATTTGTTTTTGGTGGAGCCGTCCACCATCTCATCGCAACACATTTTTAAAAGGGCATCCCCCTCGTGGCAGCTATCCCTGTGTGCCACGAGGTGACTCGGCACCTGACCTGCAAACGGCCATTAGTCTGCCAGGAGGGGCCATGATTACCACCTGGAATCCCAGTTGAGTGAATTGTTAACACGTTAAACAATAGCTGGGTACATATATATATAGCCGCTCTAGCCATTATGTCCTGAATTCATTCAGAGCTGGTTCTGGTAGCCTTTGTTCACATTATGATTTGTATCAAATGGAATGCTGTGATGTGGGGTGGAGTGGTGGCGCAGTAGTTAGCACAGCGAACCCAGCGACCAGAGTTCCACCGCATTTTGTGTCTGACGTTGCTTCCCCCGAGATCAGGCGTCGGCAACCCTTTTCCCCCGGAGCCGCATGCGGCGCTTCGTGACGAGACCACCTTCTCGTTTTCACACGGTGCATTGCGGCTCTTGAAATATGGAGTTGTTGCTGAATTCGAAAAAAATGTATCTTGTTGATATTTGTATTGCCGACCCCTGCCCGAGGTCAATATAGTCTGGTGCGGTGTGTAAGCATCAGCACTTTGGGAGACAAGGACAGTTGGGCATGGTGCTGGCCACCCACACACGCGTCTGCAGTGCCAGCCCTCGGCTGCTCACTAACAGCACTTGCCCCAACAGTGTGTTAAGGTTGTACGGGGGTCTTTGTCTTCATGGCGTGTCAACGCAGCTATAAGTGGGTGCGGTTCGAGGTGTGTCGGGCGAGCCCGGGGGCTCGGAGCTCTGGAAGCAGCCGCCCGGCGGGGGGCATGCGGACCTTGGGGGTCCCCCCCCCACAGGAGAGGGAGGAGGGGGAGATCACCACTCCTGGTGAGCGCCCACGCATGAACCCCCCACACCACCACGACAGACGCACAAACACACCACCCCCCCCCCCCACTCATCTGCAGTCGTGTTAATTCTGCTCTTTGGACTCTTCTCGCTCCAGCGAGCCACATGAGGGCTGGGCTGTGCTCTACTAAGTACCGCTAAAATTAGTCCACTGATCGGGTAACGATCCAGTCTAGTAATCGAAGCGGTGATGCGCACGCACACACACACGCACACACGCACACGCACACACACGCGCACACACACACACACGAGTGGCCCGGCCAGCCTGGGGAGAAGTGGTCTTGATTGGTCACGGGTTGGGGGAGCACTCATCAATAAGGTTGAGGAGCACTGCCCTGGACCGAGATCTCTGATGTCGGCCTCTCCCCGTCCGTTCCCCCGGCACCGCCTGCTGCTGCTGCTCAGTGGGCGCAAGCATGCGGCTTCACGTGAGCGCAGAGGACTCCATCAGCAGCCTGCGCTCGCTGCTGGCCACGGCGGGACACAGCACGGCCCTGCTGTGTAGTAAGCCATCTCACTCGCGCACAAGCCCTCACACTCGCCCGGCTCACACACACACACACACTCGCCCATTCATACTCTCGCATACACGCACTCACACTCAAACCCACTCACACACGTGAACTCGCTGACTCACCCATCTCACTCGCATGCGCTCGCTCATCTCGCTCACACATGCTGTGAGCGAGCACCTCCGAAGGCCCCCATGGCACACGATGCGGTGGGTGGCCAACACCATGTCCAGCAGCCTTGGTCTCCCCAGTGCTGATGTTTTAAACACCAAATCAGGCTCTCATTTATGGACGAATTGACCGGTTAAGATATTCGACGCTGGTGTTGGCCATGAGCGGGAATCTAAGTCAAGTTCTGAGTACAGTGTATGCATCCGCTCCTGCATACATGCGGTGCATACACACCTACACACATATCACCATCATCATTATCAGCTATGTTCTTTCTTCCCGCTGCTGCACATGAGCCGATCTCATTGCTGCACCTGCCACCTTTGTCATCCTCTTGTGTGCGATCCATGCCCTGCCCGACACTCCCTTTCCTTGTCACTGTATTTCCTGATTTGTGTAAATTGTTCTCCAATCCATGTTCCTCAGGCAATTTAATTCCAAACATGCAGTTTTCTGTTTTACATTGAACACTGTTCAGTGTTTGTTTCAAGTTATTTGAATAGTGTCTGGGTCTCAAATCCATGTGTCATAGTGGGTAACGTGCACGGTGCACCGATTGAAAATATTCCTCTTTTGGCAAATTATGTTGATTTAACTGTCAAGTTCAATATTCACACGTGTAAATAAGTACACCAACACATGCAACTCCGATCATTGGGTTCGCAGTGCAGTGTGCTAACCACTACTGCCTCTTCCCACCTATCACTCACCAAATTTAAAGATGCCCTTTTCCAAATCCTCTGGCACCACAACACACTCGCACACAGTTGGACCCACTGCCATCCAGCCACCACACATACCTGCACACGGGAAGTGTAAATATTCACACCGACCCCCCCCCCCCCCGCCATGTCACCCCTACCCCAGTGACTCCCTCGAGCCAGCCCCCCCCCTCCCCCCAGCGCCACCCTCCCTCCTCCTCCCCTCGGGTCTTCGCTCCGGCCAAGCCCAGCGAGTGAGCGGTCACCACGACGATGGTGAGTGGGTGACATCAACGCCCGCCTCGTCTGGACCCCCCTCCTCCTCACCTTGAGACTGGGGACGCATTTGCGTCAGAGGACTCGCTCACCCGGGGGACGCACCCACTCGCTGTCTCACCTGGGGGAGACGCACCCACTCGCTGTCTCACCTGGGGGAGACGCACCCACTCGCCTGTCTCACCTGGGGGAGACGCACCCACTCGCCTGTCGTACCTGGGGGAGGTGCACCCACTCGCCCGTCTCATTCGGAGGTGCACCTGGAGACGCCTCGCCCGGACACACGTCACCTGGAGGAGACTCGCCCACCCGCCTGTCTCGTGTTGTCCAAGCCTCTTCATCCGTCTCACCTGGGAGACCCACCGGGAAGACCCACTCACCAGCTCCCTCTCCGCCTGCTACCTGGAGGACCCTCTCTCTGTACACCCCCCCTGACACCCTCAGCATCTCAGGTTTCCATCTTGAAAGTTCTACACCGAGTCCCTATTACCCCCGTCCTGACAGCGCTCTGGACTCGTGCTGGTGAATGGGGTGAGGGACGGACACCCTGTGCACGCCGCATTGTCTTTTATTGCTGCGTACCGTGGGAAGCCGGCGCATGCACACGGCGCCGCTGCCGGGAGCGGAGCGGCGGCTGCGATCTCAGTTCCAGACGAGGGCGATGTTGCGCGGGCACCGGTGCTGTCGCGATACGATCGTTCACGATACCAAACTTCATGACATGACGATTACAATAAAAACAATTTAGAACGTACGCATTTCACAAAGTCAAATCTCCAGTCGGGACCGAGAGGTGCGCAGCCAGGCTCGGGTTCCTCGTACGCCAGAGGAAACGGAGGACCCCATCCTTCATGCGTCTCTGAATAGTGGCGCAGGACGAGACGCTGGCGCAGCACGAGACGCTGGCGCATGCGCGCAGTGGGGTGCCAGGACAGGGTCGTGGCTTGGGGGACGGCCAGCGAGCGGAGGCCACCGTGGCAGGCGGTTGACCTGAGGCCTGTGTTTCCCATAGCTCTGTAATGATTACTATGCTCATGTACCCAGGAATGCCTTGGGAGGAGGGTCCTGCCATGTTGTTGAGTGGGGGCGACGTTGCTATTTAAACCCATTTGAAGTTCATTTTTCAGCAATGGGATGTTTGTCCAATACGAGTTACATTCCAAGTGTTTTAGTTTGTATTTCAGTATTGTATTGTTTGTGCTTTGATGTACTTTAAGTATCCACAGATTACTTTAAGGTTCACTTCACATAATCCTGCCACGAGTCTTACAATCATTGCGACTTTACAACTGATCTGGTGAGCATACAACGCACGTGCTACCAGTTGCAACAAAATAGTGAATGAACGATGAAACTAACCACATAGCTGCCGTGCACTAACTTCAGGAGTTGATTTGGAAAGCACTAATTTAATGGGTAACACCTATCACGATGTTACAAAAATATATAATCAGGATAATATTTATTTTTAAAGGAAATAGTGGTATTCACATTGGAATGAGGATGCAGTTATCGTGGATCTTATATCGTACGATGTGTCAAAGTATCGCCACATGGAAACCCGAGCAAGTAAGCATACTTGTGTGCACAAAGCTATGCAGCCAGCAACAAGCGGCACTATCGAAGTTGTAATCGGTGAAGTTAGCATGTTTCTTGAATTGAGCAAGATTATTATAATGATCAAGAGCTTCAGAAAGAGACGATGGCAGGAAATTCCAAAGTGGAGCAGCGCAAGGCAAGAAGCGGCGAGAGAAGCGTGACCGGCGGTGCGGGGAGCGAGTTGCTGTCGGTGGCAGTGGGGTGGGTAGGTGAGCACAGTGCGTAGGGGATTCAACAGCTCGCTAACAGCACTTGCCCCAAGTCTGTTGAAGGTGACACGGGGTGGGAGGGGGGTCTTGTCTCAGTGGCAGCGGTTTGTTGTGAGCTCGGATATAAAGTAAAATAACATGGTTACATTCGGTTATAATATCGATTTTTTTTTTGTCAGGTGAAAGACACTTCATTTTTTTTGTTCCTGGGTAATAAGTTTTATTTCCTAATTGCTTATGCCTCAAATGTACAGAAAATGGCTATTCCCACAAACTTTGCTTTTGTGCCTAGGACAGTGATATTTTGAAATGTACCTATTTTCCAGAACATTCCAGACAGATTCAGTGCTGAGTAAACTTGAAGTAACTTCTAGAACATTCTAGAACGTTCCAGTAATATAAATAGTATAAATACAGGGGCCTTAAGCCCACCAGTTCAGTTTAGTTCCAGCTGCCTAAGTGGATACATGTCTGCATTTTTCTGATATGGTATCGAGGGGCTGCAAGCATCCGGCAGACGCTTTTGGCTGTCTACGGACAATTTATCAAGACAAGAATGAGAAAGTGCTCTGTGGAAGCATCTGCTAAGATGTGCGAGGCCTCCAATGCATATTTCGGCATGCCTGTCGGGGATCAAGACAAACCCTGGTCACCTCATTTCACCTGCAAGCAATGCAAAAAAACTCTGGCAATTGTTGCTCAGAATTTTGTTACAAAGTTAATTTTTCAAATTGTAAAAGTTTAATTTTAAAATGTTGTACAATTTTCAATTTAATTGAAAAAATATATGAAAAATGTTGCAAGAATCTCTTACACATTAGCCATGGGTGAAATAAATGTATTTTTTGTAGGATGGTAAAGAGGGGAAGAAAGCCATCAGTTCGCTATCCCAATCATTTGTCGGGAACCCACTGACCACTCAAGCAACTGCTACTTCTGCATGGTGGACCCTTCCAAATGTAGGACTGACAAGAATGCACCTGCTATCACTTATCTGGGACCTTCCATCCATCGCCCCGGTGCCAAACTGCCATGAGCTCCCAGTACCCACTCTGGAGAGAGAGCAGCCGTCTTTGGAAGAGAACAGCAAGTCAGAGAGCGAGGAAGACGTAGATCCAGATGACAAATTCTGAGGTAGAGCTGAGGAGAGAAACCCATACTACCCCAACCAAAAGACCTCAACAACTTGATCAGAGATATTGGTCTCACCAAGTCCAATGCCGAGCTTTTGACATCTTGGCTCAAGCAGCGGAACTTGTTGGATGAAAGTATGCAAGTTGCAGATCAGAGGAAGCGTCACCAACCTTTTTTGCAGCTTCTTCACCTGTCAAGATGGGCTCTGCTTATGCCACAATGTGACCAGTCTGTTCGAGGCAATCGGAATCGCCTGCAACCTGAATGAGTGGCGCCTCTTCATGACAGCTCATCCAGGAGCGTCAAAGCCGTGCTATCTACGTGGCTTTACCGAAAGACCCAAAGAATATTAATTCCTGCAGTCGCGAAAGCTTTAATTCAAGATTACAACAGCATTAAGACCTTGCTGGACGCCTTGAAGGAGGATTACAGCTGGGAGGTCATCGGAGACTTCAAAATGGTGGCATTCCTGATGGCTCTCCAAGGTGGTTTTACCAAATTCCCTGCTATGGGACGGCAGGGACACCAAGGCGCACTACCACAGGTGGGACTGGCCACAGTGGACCGAGTTCTCTGTGGGGAGGAACAAGGTCAAGTGGGAGCCACTGGTGGACCCCTGGAAGGTGCTGATGCCACCATTGCACATCAAATTGGGCCTTATGAAACAATTTGTCAGCTGTAGATAAGGAGTCTGCAGCCTTAAAATACCTGCAAGACTTCTTCTCTAAGCTGTCTGGGGCAAAGGTCAAAGCCTGTGTCTTCATCGGACCACAGATAAAGACGATCCCAGGGTGCAATGCATTCCCCAAGAAGCTCACTAGTAAGGAGAAAGTGGCTTGGAACAGCTGTCGCAGTGGTTCGTGGCTTCCTGGGCAATAGCAAGGTCGAAAACTATGTGGAGCTGGTTGAGACTCTGGTGAAGAACTATGGCATAATGGGCTGTAGGATGTCCCTCAACGTCCATATCCTTCATGCTCATCTTGATAAATTCAAGGAGAACATGGGAGGGTACTGGGAGGAGCAAGGCGAGCGCTTCCACCAGGATATACTGGACCTTGAACGCCGCTACCAAGGACAGTAGAACGAGAACATGGGAGACTACATTTGGGGGCTGATTCGTGAAAGTGATTTACAGTATAATCGTAAATCTAAAAAAACTACTCACTTCTAAATCCTTTGTACTCATTTTTATATTACTTTAGTATAAATACATGTTCATTTTGATTCAAGATTTTTTATGACTTCGTGAATGAAAAGACAAATTTGCCCGTTTTCTCATTGAAAAATAGGTAAATTTCTTAATATCACTGTCCTGATCATAAAAGCAAAGTTTGTGGGGAATAATAGCCAATTTCTATACTTTTTAGACATAAGCAATTAGGAAATAACACTTACTACCCAGGAACAAACATTGTGTTACATAGTGAAATCATTGGGGAGAATTCCCACTTTCCTTTTTTACATAAACAGATATACTAGCTTGCCTACCCGGCTTCGCCCGAGACTTGGATTCTTGTTTTGGATTAATACACGGAGGGTGGGGGGTGACGTCAGCAGGCACACTGCGTGGCGCTGCCGCATGCGGGTGACATCACAGATGTGACATCACCGTTCACTTTCCGTGCAAAACATATCCATTAATACAAAAGTCTACTTTTATACTTGTTGCATTGTGTACAGTCAGGAAGCTACCCACATGCCAAATTTCAAGTGTGTTGCATTTTGGGAAGTATGCTAAACATTTCGAACAGACACACACATTCACAAATTTCCATTTTATATATAAACAGTTCACCTAAACACAGCAGAGGAATTAACATTTTATTGAAAAATAAAGATTAAAAAAAGTATGGCTCTGTCCAAAAACATAGAATGTTAGCATGCCCAGTTTTTAGGCAAAAATAATTGTGAAACGTTCCACTTTAAGGTGCAGCAAGGTGGCCTTAGAGGAACGTAGCGATGGCTGCAATGCAGAACGAGGGCTGTGTACCAAATCTAAGTGGGGTACCTGTAAATGGATCACCCTGGATATGTACAATGTGTGTCCATGAATTACAAAAACAACTTCCTCCGGTGATGATCAGATGCACAACGAAACTTCACCCATCCCCTCCTGTAGCACAAGGGACCCGACACTAGATCCAAACAACGAGACCCCCTAGGACCCCAGCGATCATTAAACTTAACATGTTTACAACAATCATAAGTCAATAATTATAACAAGCGCAATTCCCAGTAAGATTCCCCAAACCTTCAGAGTAACATATTACATAGTCTCATGCAGATGAAGCGAATGGTTTGGGTGACACTAAGATTTATGGTAGAGGTAGAGTTGGGGTTAGATTTGGGGTTAGAGTTGTTGGGGTTTGTTCCCTGACACTGCTTAGGGGGTCCCCTTGCACCACAAATCCCGTACTGTTAACAGAGCCGACAGCCAGACTACGAGTTATACACAAAACCGCGAGTACAGCTTATACATGTTCTACGTTGCATACGCGTTACATATACAAGTGGAATTAAAATCTCCACAGCCACCCTCATCCCCACCACCACCACATACCCTTTTCCAAACACAGGGGACTCGAAACGCGTCAAATGTTCGGAAGTGGTTCGGAATGTAACAAACACACGCATTGGCACCGACGCACACACACGTGTAACTCCAAAGACAAAGATCCCCTTTATAGCCTTAACAGACTGTTGGAGCAAGTGCTGTCAGCGAGCACCTATGACGGCCAGCACGGCACACGATGGGGTCGGTGGCCACCACCACGCCCGGCTGCCTTTGTCTCCCTCGGGGCGATGTTTACACATCGCACCGGGTACTTATTTTAGGCCAAGTCAACCTTGGGAAGGGCCAGGTTCGGTTCAGATAATAGTCAACGGTGTTGGCCGTTAGCGGAAATCGAACTCGGTCGTCGGGTTTTTAGTGCAGCGCGCTGACCACTCGACGACCGCACGCATCGGTGCACGCGCGCACACTGCACGCCCGCACACTGCACGCGCACCCACGTGCGTGCGTGCTCAACATCACACCCGCACACAAGCATGGACGCACACACTCATACACACGTGGAGAAGTTCACACACACCCATGCACAACTCTGCACATACACAATAAAACAATCACAAGCATGTCTGGGTAGCTGCCTGCACAGAATGGAAACTTCCCCTCTCCATGTATTCATCGTTGGATGCAGTGGCCAGGTGGCTCGAGAGGGTCAATGCATTAAGCCAGCATCACTGAGAAAATAGATTCTGATCCCAACAGTGTAGCGGCCAGGCCACAAATGATTGCGGACAAAATAAATAAAATAAAAATTTGTTCTGGACTTAATTTGGCAAGGTTCCAGCTCTGAGAATCACAAAGCGCAGTTTGACCGTCATGCACCACCCTGCAAACGTTCTGCATGGATTCTCCATCTCATGGCCATGCCATGTATTTTTTTGGGTAAATATTTGTGTTTTATAATCACAAGGACAAAGACCCCCCCCCCCCCCGGTATAGCCTGAATAGACTTTTGGGGCAAGTGCTGTTGGCGTGCAGCGATGAAGGCCGGCACGGCACATGAGAGGGTGGGTGGCCAGCACCATGCCCAACCACCTTTGTCTTCCCAAGTGGCAATGTTTACACATTGACACCAGGTATCCATTTGAAGCCGAGTCAACCTAGGGGACGCCCACGACCAGTTCAGATAATCGCCACTGGTGTTAGCCATGAGCGGGAATCAAATTCTGGTTGCCGAGTTCGTATCGCAGCGCACTTATCGCTGCGCCATGGCTCCCCACACACACGCGCACACGGATCTAAGAATCACACGCAGGCACAAACCTCTCCGACACCTCCCGACCCCCGTCACACGAGGGTAAAGTCCCGACTGCTCCCCGCGCCGTTGCGGGCAGGTGCCGCGTACCCATTAGGGGGCTCCCCGGACCCCCCGCGCGAGGGCTCCGGCGAAACCCCCGGACGTAGGACGATCCCCCCGCCCCCTCTTCCCGCCGTGCCCTGCTGGGCCCCGGAGTACCCGGGGTACCCGGGGTACCCCAGCACGGAGCCCCCCGCGCCCCCGCCGCCCCCCCCGCCCCCCGCTCTGCCGTTGCTCCCCGTCGACTCGGGGATGGTGGAGAGGCGGACGTCGCCCGCGGCGACGGCGTGGCCCGGGCCCGGCCCAAACGAGACGGTGGGGCCTCCTCCTCGCTTGGAGGTGGTGGCGACGGCGATGGGGGTGGCGGCGCCGGTGGTGGAGGAGGAGCGCACGGAGCTCTGGGCGGAGCCGCGGGCCGCGTGGAGCGCGGACTTGGTGGCGGCGACGGAGGAGCGGTTGGAGGTGCGGCTGGAGGGACGCAGGCCCAGGGCGGAGCGGATCGAGCCGGCGGAGAGCGGGTTGTAGCGCGGCGGGTGGCACGAGTAGACGGTGTAGCGGTCGGGTGGCATCGCCGACACCATGGAGGAGCGCACGCTGCCGGACGCGGAGCGCGGAGCCGCCACGTCCTCACTGCGCACACACACACAGAGCCCCCCCACTGAAGCGTTAGCAGATTGCTACTAAAAGCAGTTGCACCGTTCAATTCCCTTCGTCCAGGCGAGTAGAATTCAATCACATTTATTCGATACGACGTTTCTTACGGGATATATTAAGCGACACATATATAGACACACACACACACAAAGACTGTTGGGGCAAGTGCTGTTAGCGAGCACCTACGAAGGCCAGCATGGCACACGAGGGGGTGGGTGGTCAACACCACGCACGACCGCCTTTGTCTCCCTAGTGGCGCACCAAGTACTCATTTGAGACGACCGAGGAGGGTCCCATGAATGGTTCAGGTAATCGTCACCTGTTCTTAGCCGTGAGCGGGAATCGAACTCGGGTCACCGGGTTCATAGCGCAGCCCGCTACCCGCTACTCGAGGGCTCCCCACACGTGCGTGCCCCCCATGCCGACGCGGTGTCGCGTCTCACTGAATTTCGTTCATGATCTCTTCCTCCTCGCGCCGCTTGCGTCTCCGCCGGCAGCAGCAGCAGCAGCAGAGCAGGAGCAGCAGCAGCAGCGCCAGCAGCGCCAGCGCCCCAAGCACGATGCCAGCGATGGCACCGGCGCTGAGAGTTCCTGCACAGACACAACACGGCCACCGAATCAACCACACCGCGTCGCGAATGGGTGATGGTGTTGGTTACGGCATTGGTGATGTTAGGGATGCAGTGTGCGTGATGGTGTTGGTGATGGTAATGGTAGTGATGGTGGTAATGGTGGCGATGGTGGCGATGGTGGCGATGGCACTCACTGTTAGTGATGGCCACAGCCATGACGCACGTCTCGGAGCCGACGCGGTTCTGTGCGGTGCAGCGGTACGTGCCGCTGTCGTCCTGCGTCAGGTTCCGCAGCATCAGCGTCCCCAGGACGGCATCTACAGCAACATCGAGATCAACAGCATCAACATCATCCTCAATATCCTCAAACTCGACATCATCATCATTGTCAACAATCGTAATCTCCATCTATCCCATGCCCGTGTGCCTCTCTGTATCAGCGTGTCTCCCCATGCCCCTGCATGTCTCCCCGTGCCCCTACGTCCATGGTCCCTGTGTTTCACCATGTGTCTCCCCGTGTCTCCGTGTCCCCCCCATATCTCTCCTTGTCTCCGCGTATCTCCCCATGTCTCCCCGTATCTCCCCACATCTCCCCGTGTCCCCAAGTATCTCCCCGTGTCTCCCCATGTCACCCCATGTCAATCCATGTCAACCCGTGGCAACCCGTGTCTCCGCGTGTCTCCGCGTGTCTCTCTCCCCGTGTCCCCGTACCCGCCGTGGCCTTGGCTGGCAGGGTCCCGCCGAGGCGCTCCCACACGTAGAGGAGCGGCGAGGAACCCGCGGAGGAGGCGCAGGACAGAGTCACATCCTTCCCCAGCTCCGAGACCCCCGCCGTTGTGCACATCGGTGCCGTGGGCCGCGCTGCACACACACACACACGGGTACATGGGCACACAAAGACAAAGATCCCCCATAAAGCCTTAACGGATTGTTGGGGCAAGTGCTGTTAGTGAGTAGCACCTATAAAGGTCGGCACAGGACACGACGGGGTGGGTTACCAGCACCACGCCCGACCGGCTTTGTCTTCCCAGTAGTGATGTTTACACATCGCATCAGGTACTCATTTGAGGCTGAGTCGACCTAGGAGAGAAGGCCCAGGAACGGTTCAGATAATCATCACTGGTGTTGGCCATGAGCGGGAATCGAACTTGGGTCGTCAAGTTTGCAGCACAGTGCACTAACTCCGACACTACCGCTCCCCACATGTACACACATACACACAACAACAATCACCATTCGCCACGAAGTGACGGCGACATCATCACGGCACTGTGCCAGGCTATGTGCACGTTAAAGGCCACGTGAAGTGTCGAACGCCTGCTGGCAGGTCACGGGACAGACCCAGGTGCCATGGGTTGACTGAGACGACTGGCTGATGCACCACCTGTGCCCCGACTGTGCCAACACATGGGTACAACAACCGCCGTTTCCCCCCCAAGGTTTCCCCTTGGTCCCCTTGGTCCCCGTGGGTCCCCTCGGTCGCCGTACCGAGCACACTGAGCTGGATGCGCTGCCGGTCGATGCCCGGCGCCTTCTTCACTTTGCACTCGTAGGTGGCGCTGTCGCCCGCTTGCAGCGACGCGATGAGCACCGTCGCGTTGCCCTGCGCCACGTTGCCCGCAAACGACACGCGCCCGCGCAGCGACGCCATCTGGGTGAACACCTCGCCCCCCTGGCTGGATATCACCTGGCCAGGGGGTTCCCGAGGGTGGGCGGTGGGGGGGGGGAGACAGAGAGGAGGGGGATAGAGGGTACACGTGGGTTAGTTGGCCTCGGGGTATGCGTGCAGAGGTTTGCGTGTGAGTCAGGGGGTAGGGGCTTCGTGTGTGAGGGGGGAGGCGAATGGGTGGGGGGCCACGGGGGTACCATGCTGTCCCTCTGGTTGGTGTCGGGGTTGTCGATGGTCCACTCCACGTCGAGGACGCCCGTGTCGCCCGCGTCCACCGTGAAGCTGCAGTCGAGCGTCGCCACCTGGCCCAGCGCGCGCTCCACACGCGGCGTCGCCGACGTCACAGTCACGCACACGCAGCGGCCTGCGAGCGCACACAAAGGTCCCCCGTATAGCCGTGACTGACTGTTGGGCCAAGTGCTGTGAGCGAGCAGCACCTGTGAAGGCCGGCACGGCGCACGAGGGGGGGGCGGTGTGGATGGCGAGGACCACACCTGGCAACCTTTAATCACCTGAGGCCGAGTGCACACACATACACCGCCCACACGCGCACAAATACACACACACACTCCACTTTGCGTACACACCTGCACGCACACGTGTGTGTGTCCGTACATCGTCACTCGAGTGATTGAGGGGGATTGTATTGTTGTTCCAATGTCAGAACGAGTCTCTCCCAGGGTCCACACCACTCACACGTGGCGACCGTAACACATGGCCCGCTCGCACATTCACCTGCTGAATCACCAACCCGGTGGCTACTACGATGATGATGATGATGATTCTTGTGGTGATGATGGTGATGATGAAGTAACACCAGCAGCATTTGTTTAACAGGCCTGACGCTGCTCAGACCGACGGTCAAAACCGGTCCAGGGTAGTGCTCACTTAAACAACTGCTGCCAGATGATAACGGCTGTGGAGAGCCAATAGGGCGATGCATTGAAACGATATTCGTGTTTACGTGTGGGTGCACATAACATAGTTATGCTTACACACACACATCTTTACGCAGAGCCAGTTAGGCCAGCACACAAATTCTCCACATTTTTCCAAGAGATGTTTCATAAAGCCCCGCCTGTCATCGCCCCCACCCCACCCGCACCAGTTCCCCGCGACACATTCTGCTCCGAGATGAAGTGACGTCTTCGGTGCAATTTCTCTGTAGGTGTCATCTCTATGGTGGTGGTGCTTATGTTACTGTTTGCCACGCGGAAAATAATCCTTAGATATTGAGTTGGCCGACAATTTAACCCTGGAGGCATCACGACTCTCAGCATCAGCACGAGCACGCGAGACACGGGCGTGACCCACATGGAGAACACACAGTACACACACATACAAAGAACAACAACACACGTGGGTAGCAACACACAGCACATATATATACCAATACGCAGCACCAATACATAGCACACATATAGCACATACATATATAGAGAAGACACACACAGCAGAGTATACAATCTCACATTACACATAGTATATACATCTATACACAGAACGAACACAAAGTAAAATACACATAGCATACATATACTACTGTATAGGAGGCACGCATAGCGCACACACAATACACACAAACCACAAACATAGCATCAAGACACACGAAATGCGTGACACACTTTACTTATGTTCAGTCAATGATCCAGGAGAGCCAAACCGAGTCGTTTGACTCTTTCTCAGGAGGGCCCTGCCGCTGATGCTGCTACTTGGGGTGTTGACTTGCAACATGACTTGTGTTTGTTATTTCACATGCAGGCAAAACCGGAGCACCCGGAAAAAACCCATCCCCGTACAGATGGATACAGATGGCGAGGAGTCCATTTGCTGTAGCGCCTTCTCGTGGCGAGGAGCCAGGGTACGGCTCCTCTTCGACGTGCACAGGAAGGGAGTTTCACAACCCATCTGAGTGTGACCCACCAACCCACGCTGCTGCTGCTGCTGCTGCACGGCACTGGCGCAGACAGCCACGTGCAGCGGCACAGCCATCACCACCGACCCACAGAGACAAAGATCCTCGCCCGTGTAGCCTTGACGGGGAAGTGCTGTTAGCGAGCACCTATGCACGGCTCACGAGGGGGTGGGGGGTGTCCGGCACCACGCCTGGCACGAGGCCTGACGAGAGAATTGGGGCGGCCGAACGCGAGTCGGAGTACCTGCGGGACTTTGCACCTGTGGTTGTGTGTGTGTCCGTCTCCCTGTGTGCGTCTTCGCGTGCGTGCGTGCCTGTGTGTGCATCTCTGGGTGTGTCTGTGTGTGCATCTTTGCGTTTGTTTCTCTGTATGCATCTCTGTATATATCCATTGAGTATCTGTGCGTGCATCTCTCTATCTGTGTATCTGGTTATGTTTCTCCGTGTGCATCTCTGTGTGTATGTGTATATATCTGTGTCTGTATCTGTGTGTCTGTGTTCACTCGTGTATATTAAAGCGGATGAGCTCTCGCTAGAATGAGCAGAGACGGAATGAGCGTGGTTCCAAAGGGCTGGGGGTAGTGAGGCGGTGAGGGTGACGGTGAGGAAGCGGTGATGGTGAGGAGGCGGTGAGGGTGATGGTGAGGGGGCGGTGAGGGTGATGGTGAGGGGGCGGTGAGGGTGATGGGGCAGTGAGGGTGATGGTGAGGGGGCGGTGAGGTGAGGTGGTGATGATTAGGTGGAGGCGAGGGTGTGGTGTTTGGCCTGGGTGTAAAGATTATAAGGAACATGACCCCCGGGCTAATAACACCCACCCAGCCACTCACACGCTCAGCACACAACACCCACCCAGCCACTCACACGCTCCGCACACAACACCCAGCCAGCCACTCACACGCTCAGCACACAACACCCAGCCAGCCACTCACACGCTCAGCACACAACACCCACCCAGCCACTCACACGCTCCGCACACAACACCCACCCAGCCACTCACACGCTCAGCACACAACACCCAGCCAGCCACTCACACGCTCAGCACACAACACCCAGCCAGCCACTCACACGCTCCGCACACAACACCCAGCCAGCCACTCACACGCTCCGCACACAACACCCACCCAGCCACTCACACGCTCCGCACACAACACCCAGCCAGCCACTCACACGCTCAGCACACAACACCCACCCAGCCACTCACACGCTCCGCACACAACACCCAGCCAGCCACTCACACGCTCAGCACTCAACACCCACCCAGCCACTCACACGCTCCGCACACAACACCCAGCCAGCCACTCACACGCTCAGCACTCAACACCCAGCCAGCCACTCACACGCTCCGCACACAACACCCAGCCAGCCACTCACACGCTCAGCACACAACACCCACCCAGCCACTCACACGCTCCGCACACAACACCCAGCCAGCCACTCACACGCTCAGCACTCAACACCCACCCAGCCACTCACACGCTCCGCACACAACACCCAGCCAGCCACTCACACGCTCAGCACTCAACACCCAGCCAGCCACTCACACGCTCCGCACACAACACCCAGCCAGCCACTCACACGCTCAGCACTCAACACCCAGCCAGCCACTCACACGCTCCACACACAACACCCAGCCAGCCACTCACACGCTCAGCACTCAACACCCAGCCAGCCACTCACACGCTCCGCACACAACACCCAGCCAGCCACTCACACGCTCAGCACTCAACACCCAGCCAGCCACTCACACGCTCCGCACACAACACCCAGCCAGCCACTCACACGCTCAGCACTCAACACCCAGCCAGCCACTCACACGCTCAGCACACAGAGACAACCAACCCTGCTACAGCACTCGCTTGCTGTTACGGTAAGGGATGTCGGTCAGCATCCATTAAAGCCAGCACGGCACTCCCGGCCGCCTTTGTCTCCCCAATGCTGCACAGCAACTGGCTGGGGGGGGGGTAACCACACAGCCGTACGGTCACTGTGGTAACCACATACCTGCATAGCAACGGGGGGGGGGGGGGGGGCGGGTTAACCACACAAGCGTGGCGAGAGGCCGGAGATTCCAAAGGCGAGAGAGAGAGAATTCCAGCTCAAGAATGACAACAACAACAACAACAGCAGCAGCAAGGCGACAACGACGCGGGTCTCCATGCGGCGCCGGCTTCAGCCCGGACCGGTCTGGGGCCGGCATCCTGGGGAACCGGTTTAGTGGAGCGGGGGGCGGGGGGCGGGGGGCTGCTCGGGGGTAGGGAGGGGCAACGGGGGGCCGAGGGGGGGGGTACCGAGCAAGGGGTGGAGAAACAACTCCACATTCCCGTGGCGGGGTCAGTCCATCTTGAGCGCCACTCCGGCTGGCTGCACGCGGTTTGCACTTCAATGATTGATCAGAAGACCCGCGGTGGTGCCCCAGCAACTGCGCGCATTCGTCAGCCACGCTGCGTGGCTTTAAAGGGAAATGCAAGCGGCACACATCTCGTAGGCCAGAGATCTCGCCGGAGAATAACCTCGCTTGATACATCTGGCCTCTCTGCGCTATCAAGGGTCGTTGCCCGAAACGTCGCCTATTTTATGTTATTTCTCAGTCAGTCTTTTTGACGAATGTGCCGAGTTTTAATTTTATTAACTTCGGATAAATGATGCCGATGATGCCACGGGTGGGGATGATGGTTGTGATGATGTTGCTGATTGTGGCTGTGATTGATGATGATGGCGGTGATGGAAGTGATGGTGGAGGTATAGGGGATTGTGGTGATGATTATGAATGATGTGGTGATGATGGTGGTGGTGATTATGAATGATGTGGTGATGATGGTGGTGGTGATAATGAATGATGTGGTGATGATGGTGGTGGTGATAATGAATGATGTGGTGATGATGGTGGTGGTGATAATGAATGATGTGGTGATGATGGTGGTGGTGATAATGAATGTTGTGGTGATGATGATGGTGGTGATAATGAATGATGTGGTGATGATGATGGTGGTGATAATGAATGATGTGGTGATGATGATGGTGGTGATAATGAATGATGTGGTGATGATGATGGTGGTGATAATGAATGATGTGGTGATGATGATGGTGGTGATAATGAATGATGTGGTGATGATGATGGTGGTGATAATGAATGATGTGGTGATGATGGTGGTGATAATGAATGATGTGGTGATGATGGTGGTGATAATGAATAATGTGATGATGATGGTGGTGATAATGAATGATGTGGTGATGATGATGGTGGTGATAATGAATGATGTGGTGATGATGGTGGTGATAATGAATGTGGTGATGATGGTGGTGATAATGAATGTGGTGATGATGGTGGTGATAATGAATGATGTGGTGATGATGGTGGTGATAATGAATGATGTGGTGATGATGGTGGTGGTGATAATGAATGATGTGGTGATGATGGTGGTGATGATGGTGGTGATGATGGTGGTGATGATAATGAATGATGTGGTGATAATGGTGGTGATAATGAATGATGTGGTGATGATGGTGGTGATAATGAATGATGTGGTCATGATGAGAGAGGCTTGTAGTAGCCGGTGGTGGTGATCATGGCCGTGGCAAGGGAGTTATTGTAAATCACAGAGCCGCGCTATTTGCCAGCGAGTCCCGGGTGCCTGTGACGCTGAAGCACGACGCGACGGATTCTCGCTCGTCCAACAAAACGAACACGCAGCACTTTACACTTTCGTGACTGCAGGAATTCACATTCTTTGGTTCTTTCGGTAAAGTCACGTAGATAGAAAAAATAAAAAGAAAGAAAGTTTTTCACTTTATTTGTATTTTTATTTTTTAGTCACGAAAATCTAAAACAATATTTAAAAAATTGTACTTCAATTTATTATTATTCTTTTTACTATCTACGTGACTTTACCGAAAGAACCAAAGAATACGCAGCACAATGCCCATTAAGCCGAGTTGTTGGGCATGGCGCTGTTGACGATGACCTTTGTAGAAGCTATGACTGAGGTACAAATAACCCACTGTGAACAAAACATTTTCCTCATTAAAACATTTAATGGGATTTGTGTGTGCGTGGAAATGGGAATTCCCTTCTCCATTCCATGATTTTTCAAGTCGAGTTGAGATGCGTTTCTTTATTAGATACCGATCATATTTTGGCGGCAAAATGAATAATTGGCGGGGTAAATGACGTCGTTTTGAAAGTACGATTGGCGGGAAGGGAGGGCACTCAGCCCATCGTCTCATCGCGACCACGACGATGATGTTGATGATGATGTTGATGATGATGTTGAGATGTTGACGGCTCCGTGCTGCTGATGTTGATGGTGGTGGTGGCTGAGTCATTGTCGAGTGTGGAGGTGAAACAACTCCCTCGCCACACCCGTCGCCTCCACACCTCGGCTCGCACTCACCGACGCACATTGCTAATCACCGCGACCGAGGAATGCAATATCATCGATACATTCTATACAAACACGTCATATGCAGTCTATTTATAGACTGCATATAGAATATGTATAGATGAGAAGCGGGGGTAGCTGCCACGGCGGTGGCGTCATGGTGACCACCCAGCAACCAACCACCCCCTCCACTGAACCCGCAGTGACCAACGCGGGGAAGTATGGACAAAGACAAAGGCCGCCCGTGTAGCACTTGGCAGACCCTGGGGCAAGTGCTGTTAGCGAGCAGCACCTATGACGGGGTAGGTGTGAGGCCAACCCCACGCCTGCCCGGCCGCCTTTGTCTCCCCGTGTTGATGTTTACTACAGACCGCTCCATGCACGAGCCCTTCTAAGACTGATAAGAAGAAGACGACGACGACGTGTGGTCACAACCTCCCCCCGATGAGCGTCGTGGGTTGCCGGGCTGCAGAACAAAGCGGCTGTTGTTGTTGTTGCTGTTGTTGTTGTTGCTGTTGTTGTTGTTGTTGTTGAACTTGCTTCTTCACGCAGCGCGATGTCGTCGTGGGAACCTCGCTGGGAGTTGTTGTGCACACGACTCATCGTCACACGCCGCGGGGTATACACACCACGTGACATGCACACCGCGGGGTATACACACCACGTGACATGCACACCGCGGGGTATACACACCACGTGACATGCACACCGCGGGGTATACACACCACGTGACATGCACGCCGCGGGGTATACACACCACGTGACATGCACACCACGTGACATGCACACCGCGTGCCATGCACACCACGTGACATGCACACCACGGGGTATACACACCACGTGACATGCACACCACGTGACATGCACACCACGGGGTATACACACCACGTGACATGCACACCACGTGACATACACACCACGTGACATACACACCACGTGACATACACCACACGTGACATGCACACCGCGGGGTATACACACCACAAGACATGCACACCACGGGGTATACACACCACGTGACATGCACACCACGGGGTATACACACCACGTGACATGCACACCACGGGGTATACACACCACGTGACATGCACACCACGGGTTATACACCCCACGTGGTGTGTGTGTATACGGTCCCTTCTACCGCGGTCTACCGAGACTAAATCCATGGGGCACAGCTGCGTCCGCTTAACACAGACACCGGCACTGCTGATGAGACTCAGGGAAGACGAAACCGGTAAGAAATAGCGTGGGAAGACATTAGCTGCAGCAGTTACAGCAGCTACAGCTGATGACCGAGGAGGAGTTAGAGATGATGATAATGATTATGGGGATACAGTATAATAATGATAGCGATGATTACAATGTGGAGGAGATCAAGACGATTTGACAGCCGTATACATTAACTAGTTATGCGTCTGCAGTGGCCCTTCCCCAAGGCAACGTGCCACACGGACATGGGTTTAACAATGTCTCGGCGCTGCTGTCACTCCGGGAAGGCAAACCCCATCCGTGTGTTTTGCTGCATAAAACAAATGTTGCGTGGCAACTCTTTGGCTCGGAAAGCCGAAATTCTGGCCGAGGGAGTCGCCTGTGGATGCGCTGCTGGAACGAGAGAGGCCGAGAGAGAGGAGCAGTCCCCCAACTCATCAGCAGCAGCAGCCTCCCGCGCACATCAGCATGGAGGCATCGGGCGCTCATCTCCTGCTCACAACCATGCTCACTCAGCCAGTACTGTGAACTCCACATTCATATGGCCGGCAGGGTGGGAATTATACATAGAGGACGCACACTTCTGATCTTCCCCCACAATGTAGTATCTATTTTATCGGCCACAGAGGGAGTGAGGATGGGCTGACAGTGAACGGCCCCCAAACAGGAGTTGAACTCGCAACCTTCCGCCTGGACCGGGATGGCTGCGTCGCAGCTGCGGGGCACCGCAGCTGCGAGAGAGGGAACCGATCTCGGCTTCGAGAGCCTCGCTGAGCATGGGATTCAACTCCCAGACAGGACGAGGAGGAGGGGGGGGGGGGGCTAGGAGTGGGACGAGGGGGAGGTGGAGTGGGACGAGGTAGAGGGGGACGAGGTGGCGGTGGAGGGGGACGCTCACGCACCGTGATGAATGGCAGTGGCAGCGCCCGGCAGGAAGCTAAAGCGTCAGGGCCCACTAAGCTCACGGAGATCTCGGATTCAAAAATCAACTGGAGTCAGAGCACAACATAGAGGCAGAGTAAGATAGAACGCGAGTTGATCATCTCTCTCGTATCTCTGTCCTGTCGGTCTCTCGTGTCACTACTGCATCTCTTGGCATCTCGCTAGAACGTTTATAAGTTGCATCTGTCCCTCCCTGCTTAGCTTGCAGCACCGTGGATAGTTGGTCAACAGAATGAGAATCTTTATACTCGAGGAATCCGATGAGCTATAAAGCTCCTTTTCACACATGTCCAGTCGGGGCACGGCGTCAGAACGTTTCTACAACGAACAATAGAAAAACACGACACAAGTGCAAAGTCTAGGAAAGGTATTCTTTAAGTCTTTCGGTAAAGTCACGTAGATAGGTTAAAGAAAATAACAAAAATGTTGAACCTATCTACGTGACTTTACCGAAAGACCCAAAGAATATGAATTTCTGCAGTCACGAAAGCTTTAAGTCAAGATGTATAGGTTAGATGTAAACAAATCACTGAAATAATCAGTGTTTTTTGTTTTTTTTTATATTTTATTCACTTTATTTTTATTTTTCTACACACAAATAAAACTGAACTATGTTTAATCTAATAATAAGGTAAGGCCCATCGAGCTAGCTATCAACTTATTTTCCAGAGGCGACCTGGCCATAAATAAAAGCTCAACAAAGTGTCGTGTCAGTGTGGGGGGTCCTGGTTCTAGGGTTTAACTGCAGGGAAGGTGAGCTCAGGCGAGGGGTCCAACGTAGGGGTCGGAGGGGGTCAACAGGTGGGCTCCGTGGGGCGAACCCTTTGCTCGCTTTGCCTCCATCGGGCTGCAGAGATCACCCCCATAACGCCACCACCACTCCAAGCTCCATCCATACCCCCACATCTCCCACTCTCCCCTACAGACCCCCATCCCTGCCGCTTCCCCGCCCCTCACCAGGGAGGTAATGGGGGAGCGGGACCCCCGGGGGAGGTAATGGGGGAGCGGGACCCCCGGGGGAGGTAATGGGGGAGCGGGACCCCCGGGGGAGGTAATGGGGGAGCGGGACCCCCGGGGGAGGTAATGGGGGCGCGGGACCCCCGGGGGAGGCAGTGGGGGAGCGGGACCCCCGGGGGAGGTAATGGGGGAGCGGGACCCCCGAGGGAGACCCCACTCCACGGAGACGGCGGCACTCACCAGACAGGAGGGAGAGGAGGAGCACGAGGACGGGGAGGGAGACGCGGGCCACTGGCACGTCCATGATCCCCGACTCGCCCACTCCTCTCCACGGCCCACGGGGTCTCCAATAATGATGGTGGAGGTGGTGGCGATGTGATGATGGAGTTCACGTGGAACTGATGATGATGCAGCCTCTGACTTGATGGTGTTCGGTGGGATTTGATAACGATGTTGATGCTTTCTTCGGGGAATCGACGACGACGACGACGATGTTGCTGGTGACGGTGGTCGCGTGGACCTGGCGGCGACGTCGCTGGATGTGAAGTTCGGGACGACGCTACAGGCGAAGACGGCCACGGGAGCAGTGCGTGTGACTCGCGCACTCAGCGAAGCCAAACATATGGGCGGGGGGAGGGGCGGGGGGAGGGGCGGGGGGCGGGGGGAGGGGCGGGGGTGGGGGCGGGGGGAGGGGAGGGGCGGGGCTTGAGGGAGGAGGGAGGGGCGCGTTTTGAGGGAGTTGAAGTTAAAGTTGCCACCTTTGAGATCTACGATTCGAGGGCGTTTCGTGAGAATATCTCTCACAGTAGCTGCAGAGGGGAACAGCTGCATCTAAACGCATCGTCTTCAGTGGTGTGTAGCTGCCATTATTATTACGCAACTGACACAGAATCCGGGGCGGCCTTTCACGTCTTCGGGACGACTTACAGATTTCCCCAAGATTAGCGAGTGGACAATCCCGGGAATGCCAGGAATCGGTGGCAAGTCGCCTTGGAGAGGCGGGGCTGAAGAGTTAGAAGGGCGGGGCACCCCCTTGAGCCCCCCGCCCCCCTCCCCCCGGACCGCATCACTTCCTGCCACGGTTCAATTGTCCCGGGTGCAGTCACGTGGCGCGTATTATTGATGGATGAATGGCTCCCGATGCCTCGTGTGTTTTGACCATACTTCACCACGCCGGTGAAGACGTGGGAAGGCCCAGGAGCTGTTCAGATATTGCTCACCAGTGATGTTAGCCGTGGCCGGGTCATCGAACGCAGGTGGCCGGGTTCCAAGCGCAGTCCACTAAAACCAGGTTCATATGATTCCTCCGCTTGTTTTCGCCAATATAGCCTGAGTCTCAAGACACTTTTCAGGAGGGTACTGCCATGGTTTCGCAGCAGATAAGTCATGTTGCTGCTGCTGCTGCTATATGTGTGATCCCAATCAAGTGATTTGCAGGCGATGTCGGCATTGAGATGTTTAGCCAATACCGGGTCCTCTGTGGCGCGTGGGGGGGGGGGGCTATGGGAGGATGAATCAGGAGAACTCGAAGGACCCCGTCCAGCGCAGGGGCCGACAGAGAAACCTTCACAGTGCACAGAGAGGGGCCCGAGCCGGGGATCGCCGCTACCGCCACCCTTGCCGGTTCAGGCTGCAGTCCTGCAACTGCGCTGGTCGCGCCTCCACTGGAGGTGCTTCCCATCAACTGAGCTGCAGCCATTCTTACTGCGGGGTGCACAGAGGCGGTTTCGGGGGTGGGGGGTAGGGGGGGCGTTTAGGAAACTTGGACCATCGTTTCAGCTGCCGCGCCCGGAGGTAGAATCCTGGCGCCACTGCGGCATGGCCCATCCCTGCGCCGTGACAACCACGGGGCAAATGTCGCTGTTGCCGCCTTACGGCCAACGGCGGGTCATCTCAGCTGGCGTTGGAAATTCCACGTTCGTATGACGGGGACGGTTACACGTAAAGAGAGACGCGCGGTATTATTTAATTATTTTATTGCGCAGCGCGTAAATCAAAACGAACACACAACACCAACACACAACACCAACACAATGACGACTACTGCTGCAGCAGCAGCAGCAGGAGCAGCAGGAGCAGCGGACTGTGCAGCAGGCAACGCGTGGCGGTGTCGTCGTGCCTACCACACGGGTTGTAATCGCCGCTGCCGCTGTGTGTGGTTGTTTATCGATTGTTATGGTTCATGTTGATTGTTGTGGTATTTGTTGTGATCGTTAAAGTTGTTATTGTGGTTGTCAGCCCCCCCTGCCCCCCATATAATTATGTTTAAATGACACTACGTGGGGTAACGTTTGTCGTCCGTCCCCCGCACTTCCGATTACCACGGTTGGCTACGTGTGGTGCGAAAGAAGTTGAACACGCAACATACATGTGCCACGTATTTAGTTGATTGTTCTTGCTGTTCGATTGTGATTTGGGTAATTTCTTTGGTAATTGTTTATACATTTTAGTGATATGCGTTGGTCTTGTTTTAATTTAATATTGTTCAGTTGTAAGTGTTTGTAATAAATTTTTATATTAGCTGCTGTGGTGTATTGGGTCGTTCATTATTGCGCTGGTTACGTCATATATGGCCAAGATGCAGGTTGTTGTTGTTGTGGTTGTTGTTTGGTTGTGCATCGCATTTTTGTTTGATCAGAATTCACAGCAGTCGCTCTATTAACCCGACATCAGAACACCTCCTCCGTCTCTCACGTTCGTATTGATACCTCGTTAAATAAAATCATCACGAACACCCTCACGGGGTCATCGTTGCAAACGAAGAGACTCGCATAGTGCAGAGCACGCACGTGGGAAGCCACGTGGCAAGGGCGCACGACAGCCAATCGCGAACGAGGAGGCCGTGGTCGTGCCTACGCGCAAACCGTGCACGGAGCTAAAGCGCAGCGGGGGGGGGGGGCTGCGAGGAGACGACTGGGCCCAACCCAGAGCCCCTCCCCCACAGCCCCTCCCCTCACCCCTCATGCATCCCGACAAAAGCCCTCCCTACCCCTCCCCCAGTCTGGACCCAACCCAGCGCCCCTCCTCCCATCCCCCATTAATTCCCCATAGCCCCCTCACCCCCTCCCCCCACTACAAAAAAACCAGCCAATGACGAGCTGCGCGTCAAGTCACGTGACTGGCACATGGCACGTTCTGCTGCCGATAACAAGTATGGCGCTAACTACAATCCCCAATCAGCACGCGGCGCGGTTGTCACGGGCAAGGTCTCTCACCAAGGCGATTGGCAGATCGGAGACCACAGCGGCACAGTGCTGCCATGTGCTTTACCAGGTGAGGGCGCATTGCGGTGCATTGCCTCTTGTGATTGACGACCTTTATTTAACCAAATAGATAAGCATACAATACGTCTCCTTCACATATCGGTCCCTCCACATTAAAATAACGAGTATTTCTTACACAAGCCTTCGGTCGCACGGCCTTCTGGGAGCACTTAAGAAAGTCAGCAGCATTGACTTGGCTCGAACAAACTCCGGACCGGTTTCAACACTCAGTGCCTCATCAGTCAGGCTCGCTTGAATCAATGCTGCTGAACTATGAGATGTTATTGGGTCTAATTCGAGGATAAATACTTTTAAAAAGGTATGTGGGGGTACAGATGCGCGAGGGAGACATTGCCTGCTTCTCTATTTTGTTATTCATATTTTCCACGACGAGGCCAATTATTTTCCTTATTTAACCCGTTGAGAGACAATTGGGATCCATTCCCTCTTGCGACGGACGTCCTTTATTTAGCCAGGTGCAGGACCACTAACATGCACCTTGCAATCTAAAGGGCACCTCGTGGCATCGAGTCAATTGGTGAAAGTCATCACTGTTTTCTCATTTGACATTTGGCTATAACACTGAAAGAGAAAATTGGCAACTCGAATGAAGACTTGGCAAGGCCTTTAACGTCCACTTACCACCAGAGGGAACACTTTAGTACGTTTTGGTAAAATACATTCCTGGGCGGACACAGCCAGGAATTGCACGAAGTGCCAAGGTGACTCAGTGTAAACGTGGCCCCGCCCACTCCGCTCATGGCTCCGCCCACTTCACATAAACCCCGCCCCCTTCACCCGAGGGCAACGCCCACTTTGAAAAATGCCCCGCCTACTCCGCTCACAGGCTCCGCCCACTTCACATAAACCCCGCCTCCTTCACACGAGGCGACGCCCACTTTGAAGAATGCCCCGCCCACTCCACTCATGGCTCCGCCCACTTCACATAAATCCCGCCCCCTTCACCCGAGGCGACGCCCACTTTGAAGAATGCCCCGGCCACTCCGCTCACAGGCTCCGCCTGGCCGGCTCCGAGGCTCCGCCCCCCGTGCTCCGCCTCTCCTCCGCTCCGACCTCCGCGTCGTTCCAGCGGTAATTGACTGAAACGAGTCGATGGACAGCAGCTCATTCCTCAGCCCATGCACGCCCCTGCCATCTAAATCATTCTCTTACGTTACCGCTTAATAAGCTATGTCAAGCGCCTTGAGTAAAGGCGCTCTAAAAATATTACGTAAGAAAAGCTGCCATTAGTCGATTAGGCAGCAATTAGCTAGCGACGACGTCACCGTAGCGGGTGATGTCAATCACAGCGGGTGATGTCAATCACAGCGGGTGATGTCAATCACAGCGGGTGATGACTCTGCACGCGGAAGCTGCGAAGCAAGACGGTTGGCGCATGCGCCGTCATAACACGGCCGATTGGATACTTTTTGCCGTTCAGGCCGCGGCGTTGTTGACGGATGTGTCGAGTGCGGATTCACGTACAGCCCTCTTTGTGTGTAGGGACAGTGTGGGTGCAGGGACAGTGTGTGGCCTAGTGGTCACGAGGGGTAAGTAGGGAAGGGAACCATCTGGGAAGTTCGGGAAAATGCGAGAGAATTCTAGAAAGGGGGCGTGGCCGAGGGCGGGGTGAGGGCTCCGCCGGCAATAAAAGGAGGTGAGAGGCGAGGTTCGGGGCCGCTGTGGGATCGGGGTCGACTGTCTTCACGCCGCCGCTGTCTTCGCGTCGTCGCCGCTACTTGCGTGCCATCCCTGGCCCAAGTCATGTGTGCGTTATCCCTGGCCCAAGCGATCTGTGCGTTATCCCTGTCCAGGTCAAGTTACCTGCATGGAGCGTCTTCTTAAATAATAAATAAGTAAACCTCTACAGTTCAAGTTGTCCGAGCGTCACTACATATGTATGTTGAACTTCTTTCGCACCGTACGTAGCCAACCATGTTAGTCGTAGGTGTGGGGGAAGGATAACAAATCGGATGGAGGGCTCCCCACACCGTGTTGTCGGTAATGGGAGGGGGGGGGTGTTTTGACCATACTTCACCATGCTGGTCAGTGCAACAGGAGGTGCTGGATCGGTGCAAATAGCTGATCGCAGCACAACGCCACACCAAGGACTCATTCATGGCCACTCGCAACCGTGACCCCTCCTTACGGACCGCGCTCGTGCATAAACTCCCTTCTTCGTACTCTCGTTTAGCCAGGAAATTCTCACAGAGTCTCAAGACCCTTTTTCTCAGGAGGGTCCTGCCAAATGTTCCCTGGAGGAGCGATGTTGCTGCTGCTGCTGTGTGTGTGTGATCCCAGTTGAATAATCTACAGGTGATTTTTGAGCAATGGGAAGTGGTTTG